GATGCGGTCCCAGTGATTGAAATGGCAGAGACTGACTTCGAAGCCAATCGAGGTCACAACTGAGATTGCATGTCGCAATCCAACACACACGGTGGGGATGCCGAAACCTAAGATTCAAACTGATAGTTCAAGACAGATATCCAATTTCATATAAACCGGATGTCACGGCCCATCTTCATGGTTCCCGCGTCCGCTCGAAAATCAATGTCCGAAGAAGATATCTCTGACTGCTATCATTATGCCTTTGGAACGTTACGAGTTCTTGTGTATACCATTCAAATTGCACAAGGTTGTGCAAACATTTCAATGCTTCGTCGGTTGCACCGTACGTGGACTCGACTATGTTCACCCATACATCGACGATATCCCAGTGGCATCGTCATCATCAACAGCAGCAGTACATCAGCCATTTGAACTGATGTTTCACTGCCATACAACCATGAGGACCTATGAAATAAAGAATAAGAAGAGGGAGAGAAGGGGGACTTACCTGAAAACCTTAATACCCTAAGCAAACATTCAGGGTCAAGGCGCCTACATCTTGTGTTAACAACATACCGCCACAAACAGCTGGCTATCGTGCAAAGATAAGGCGACATCGGCGAGACAGCTTCCTTGCGGCTTTCACTGCCACGCGTCATAATCAGCCATTTCGCCGCAGATAAATCAGCACCACAATTTAAACAGACAATCCGATTAGGAGACGGCAGCAGACGCGCCATTGATGTCGGTTTCGTGCCATGTCCTGTAAAGTCTCGAGCCAAGCACAAGGCGAGTCACGTGGACTTCAGCCCGGAAGGCGAAACGGACCAACGGCACCCAGTTTGGTCGTCAGTGACTTCATTTTCTGCTGCCAAGTCAACTTCTGTCCACCGCGAGCCTTGCGCCATCCTACACCTGGCAGACTAAACAAGGCCCTCCTAGATAAGCGGTGACCAGGCATACGTAGAACGTGCCCGACTCAACGCAACTTATTCAGTGTTATCTGTTGTTCTAGGGAGCTAGCATGATTATCGCCACCTAGTACTCGTCTACGCACATCATCGTCGCGGACACGCTGGTGTCATCCGACACCGGCAATGCTTCGCAGACAACGATGATCAAAGACTTGAAGGCGCCTCAGATCTTCAGACCGAAGGGGCAGTTTCACTACCATAGAGCAGAACGGCACTCACTGTGGCCTTGTATATCCGACCTTTCAGACGGAGGGAAACTCCCTTCTGTTGCCAAAGATGTCGCAGGTTCAAGAAGGTAGCTCTGGCTTTTGCAATGCGTGAGCTGACGTCAGTTTCTATGCGCCCATCATTGCTGATGCACCTGTCAAGATAAGTGAAATGATCAACAACCTCGAGTTCCTCGTTAGCAAGCGTCAAGCGGTCGTCAAGTGGCTGGTGATCCCACAGCAACACTGCACTTTGAAGGTGCGAAGCGCATACCAAATAATGGAACCATTCTTGACAGGGTATTCAGGGTTGGTTGTGCCACCGCAACATTGTCGTAAAGCAAGACGATATCGTCCGCATAATCTAGATCAACTAACCTTTCACCAGGCAGCACTTCAACGCCTACATCTTTAGATTTCGCAAGGAAACACTCCATGATGGAATCCACGATGAAATTGAACAAAAACGGGGAAATCGGACAATCCTGAGCGGAAAGTGTATGCCTTAAAGACAGTAAGGGTTGAGTTGACGTACAAAGCAACGCCACCTCCGTGACGATGGGAGGCGCGGTCCTACCACAGTAGTGTTTATCCTAGAAAGCACACTTCATTGTCCGTGACGTTGGTGGACAACCACGTTTCAGTGAATGCGAGGACATCTGGAAGGAAGTCATTAACAATGGTGTTCACTTCGCTCAGCTTGTTCTGCAGACAACGCATATTACTGAAGAGCACCTGTAGTGATCTAGCATCGTGAGTCCAGGATCGTGTGCCATCAGAACGAGTTCTGGCAGGGTGGAAGTGGACCGCGGGTACACCAGCCGAAAACCAACCAAGCAGAGACCCTTTTCCTCTGCTTCACGACGAGCTTTAAGATCTCGCACAGCCTCCCGCAATTTTAGCCTCTCCGCCAAAGGGAGATCTGGGTGCACAATGACAGCAGTGCCCTTAAGCTTAAAGGCGAAACGCAGAAGAGCTTGGGTCTCCTCCGAAATAAACAGAACCATTCTCAACAAGCGAGGGCGAGATACAGACCTGTCAGACGGCAAGTTACCGAGTCTAGTAAGTTTTCGCACAGTCACGTCGGGAAAGCCTTGCTGCAGGAGTTTGGTAACGCATATGCTAAACTACTGAAGGTAATCCTCCACACGCTCCTTTGGAAGAACAGCTGATGAATCAGTGACGTTCCTGGAAATAAGACTGCAGGCAGCATACGAGTTTCCGCGACACGGGGTATTTACAGAACGCTCCGTGGACGTTGGCGGTTTCGGTTTAGCGTCCGGTTTTATAGACGCCGACGTCGTAGACGAGTTCACCTGCGACGAGGCAGTAGTAGTAAAGTTGAGCAGAGTGGGGATAGGGCACCGACGGACCTACTGGGAAGGTAGCGGTAGTCTATCGTAGCTAGCAACTTTATATCTGTCTTCATATACTAACTGGCGGATAACGAAGCGGAAACGGGCAGTTGCAATCACGAAGGTTTCCCCATGTACTCTTTGGCATCATAGCGAGGACGCGGTGGAAGCCTGATAGGGTGTGATTGCATTTGTGCTTTCCAGCAGCATGCTGGCGAACGACAGAGAGTGCTCACTTAGATCGAAGGGTCACCGACGGTTCCATTCTAGGATGCAAGCTGTGTAATGATCTAGGAACTTCCTTTGTCTAGTCGTGAACTATTGTACAAAATAGCCCAAATGTATAGTTTGCTTCGGTAACCAGGGAATTAAGTGCGTCGCTTGTTCGGATATTGCTCACGTTTGTTCAACACACTCGCGTCTTCCCGACACGAAACGTCGTCGGCTACCAGCAGACATCTACAGACTGTACATACTCGCATCTTCTCCAGCCAGCTCTCGTGTTGACATCATATTCTTAGGCTAGAATCCCTTTAGTAAACCATTGGTTGGCATATTTTCTGTTATTGCTTGTCTACTATCGGGAGTCAGTTCGTCCATTCATTCGCCTGGGATTATATCCCTAAAACCGTTGTCATTATGCCGGTAACCGAACAGATTATGCTTCCACCTAGCAATCCGTGTCACCGGTACGAATCCGCTTAGATGTGCCAAACTCGCGGAATACCCAACTACTTAGTCCCGATGTTGCCCAGTCTCTGCGGTCACCCGTTGAAGCTGCGTAAACTGCGTTCTGACTGGGTTGAGACGCAAACTCGCTTGTAGTGCCGTTATTAATCCCTGGAACCCGCTTCCGGCGTCCGTTGTTAGACTCCATGAGAAGGGTTTTATTCTGACTTGGATCATAAGCTCTCTCCTGTTCTTTTTTCAGTTCCACTCATGCCATGGTAATACCACACCTCAGGTGACACTCCTCATATGTTCTTAGTTTAGCATTCACACCCATACTTCACGCAACCGTGCGCAAAGCACGAGAGACGAGTGTCCGATGGAATGACCGGTGGATCCCCCCGGATTAACCAATCTTTGTGCCCCCGACTGTCACAAGTAGATACTTTTTGGACGACATTTGGTCACTCAGAACGTTTTTATCTGTATACCGTGAATGCATTTTTCTGGTTGCATATGCCGTCAACAGTAACAAATTCCCAAATCATAATTACCGAATATTATAGCCGTTAGCCTGAACCGAAAATGTCTTTGTGACCTAAATCCATCCCAACTGTGTCAAACTGGGGCGGCCAGTGGCATAAAAATTTGTCACTCAAAGCGCTCAAACGGTCAATCGCGATGATTGAAATTACGATTTTACTATAAATTAAAGCCTTTTAGGCAAATAACGAGGTTCAAAAGACGTACAACCATATCTAACCAAATAACTGCACATACAACGCCATCTATCTTCACGTTCAAATTACGCCCCTGCGAGTGACCAAAATCGCCTGAATGGGAAGGCTGGGCAGCAACTGCTTGACCAATTCTTGATTCATCTTTTCATTTGGTTCATTAAATCTTAAATTATTCCATCATTTTCTGATCCAACGACACACAGGACGTTCACGGAATTACCGTATTGCTACGGACACTACTGGCTGGCTTGCCGAACAACCTCCTCGTGGTGCCAGCTGGGTGGTTCGGGATTTTCCCGTTCCAGCAAATGGTTCGGCGGCAGTGTTCCAGGACGTGGTGGGTTTTCGCCTGGCAAGCGTTCTCCCTATAAAAAGCCACATATGTCCGTTTAACAACACTGTGACGTGGCGGACGTGACTCGCCACTAAATAAAGTCACTGCCCCTTGCTTCATCCTGGCGAAGCATTGTATTCCAGCAAGTTGATGCTGTAATTTCGGGGAGCATTGGCTCCTGCTTGGCAAAGGAACAAACGAAAGGCGTATGAACTGATCAATCAGTCACCGGCTCCCAATGGGCGCGATTCCCTGAATTCGCTCCGCTGCCTTGCGGACAGGCTACTCAGCCAAAGGCTCGGGGTGGTGTCCCCTAAGTCAACACCCTACTTCGGCTTGGGCAACCGGGTAGTATTTCGCCCTCTGACGAAACCGTGGACATTGTTGTGTTGTGTTTTCTTTTACTATTTCTGTACCTTGTTTTGAGTTCCATGGTTTCCGATGGTGCAATGTCTATTCATAGACTGTTGCAATATATATATATATATAAATGTATATATATATATATATATATATATATATATATATATATATATATATATATATATATATATATATACGGACACTACTGAACTAACATTTCGTGCTAATCTCAGGGCAAATGACGAGGTTGAAAATATTACAACGGTACTGAAAGTTCGAACGATAACGAACGAAAAACTAAAACACCAGCAGATATACATTTTCAACTAAATAAATGCAGGAGCATGAAAACTTAAACACTATGTAAGGACACCCACATTTTCTTCGGTGCGCGTGTCCCCGGGTGAAAGTAAACGCTGCGGGCGGTCTTCATAAATGACAAACAGCATGTCGCCATGTCTATAAGTAGAGCAATGTTGAAAGAACGAACCGCGAACTTCAGACCAAGACTGGAGAGTGAAGTATTTAAGGATGACCTAATTCTACCAGAGCCATCCCGTGTGGTAGACAGATACCACTTAACGGAGGAATTAAAGGCGAATTCTTCTTCAGCTGACTTTAACAGTCTCCCGAACCTATCCGATCCAGAGACGTCAAACTTCTTCGTCCCTGAAGGAGCCTGAATCCGGACGATCATAGTCACAGCTAAAGTAACACGACCTTGAAATGAGGTCAGGTTAGCTTCCAAGGACGATACAGGCTTCCGACTAATGAGTGTCCGGTTTCTTGCACTCGTACCTGAACTCTTGTTCACGGTACTGAGTGGCTAATTTGTTAAAGGAAATTAACATTATGGTAGCGCTGCGTTTTGGTACGCCAGCCAAAATGTAGGTTATCGCGTGAATAAGGACTAAGTTCAGGTTCAAGCGGGGTGGAAGGATAGAATTATCCGGCGAGTGTTCCTTTTTCAGCGGGTCTTTGAACCAAGAGTTGGCAGACTTCGAAATACTGAGGGTTGAAACAAAGACAGCAGCACACCCTGTCCAAACCCTTAATGCCTACATATCCTGCACTAGCACTCCCTGCTGTGTTGTTTACGTGAAGTAAGGAAAAGTAAAATCCGAAGACAAAAGGGAATGTGGAAAGTGCTAAGAAGTAGAATACCAAGGTATTTGTCATTAAAAGGCGCTGAAAAGTGGGGGTGAGTAAGTTGGGGAAAAGGTAAGTTTTATTTTTGCCACCCAAAAGCATCCAACTGGCGCGCAAAACCCTTAACTGTAAGTTTCCTAACCAAGTGGTCTCCCAGCGAATTCCAAGGCTTTTTAACTCGGCGTAACAGACGGGTGATCGTCCTAATCCTATCAGACCGTAGTTTATGCGGTTTCAGTGGGTGACCGCGGAGATTAGGTAACGTAGCGGGACTAAATAGCCCCGCCAATTCCAGGCATATATTACCCGTCGACATACGATAATTGAGAATCAGGTCCCCTCTTATCCTTTCGATGTGCATGGAGTACATGCCCAAACGGAGCAAGCGTTCAGGATACGTTGGTTCCCGTAGACCCTGCACTAACTGAGTGCCCACTCGTAACACCCTCTTCAATCCATTTTGTCTCGGAGATAACATGGTGGACAGACCTGGATACAATATTCCAGGTGAGGTCGGACGAATGCCAAGACTAGCTCTACAAAGACGTTGGCCGTTAGGATTCCGAAACAACGGCAGATAAACCACCTCATACGAAACCCCCGACAAGCAGCCTTGTTCTAACGTGGCGGATGTGACCCGCCACAAAATAAAGTCACAGCCAAGCATTTCACACTGACGCAGTCCTCAGCCTTCTACATCGAACCTGTGCAACTAATTCTGCTATGAAGAATGCTTCGTTGGAGCATAGATCATCTTTATCTCGTAATGGTTATTGGTTGCAACAAAACCTTGTTTAGGCTCCTGTGCTCACGGATCACTACCTGGCGAAATTACCCCCAACTTGTGTTTTGACGAATTTTTGCGCGCCACAGCGCCATAATGTCCCTGGGTCAGACTATTACCTGACAGTACGCTCACTCATACGAACAACAGCTTTTCTTTTATAACTTTCATTAAAACGAAATGTTTTAACATTCCACAGAAGCTATGCTTGTATGCATATTTGATCATGCCTTTACAGGTGTGTCTCGTTTTTACCGGGAATATACTATTTATTTATTTATTTATTTATTTATCTATCTATTTAAATGTCGCCGGAATGGAGTGCTGATAAGTGTAGACCCCTAAATCAACCTGCCGATTGACAACAAGGAGATTATCACTGCTGACAAAATATCGGGTGCGAACATTGGCAGCTTCAATCCGTCGAACGGAGTACTTGGCCCTACTTATGGGCCTCGAGCCTAAGGTAGACCATTCCCAGACCTTATCCAAGGCAGGCTGAATTGACTCAAGATCCTGGGATATCCGTATTGATATGGAATGCTGACATTATGAGGAATCAAGTTCAGCTGAATGGCATATAAATGCATTTACCCATGTCGCGCCTTGTTTGAACCGGTGATGAAGCGACGAGGCTTATTTGGTTAACTTTCGCCATATTGGATGATGCTCCTGCTTTTTGTCCCATGGTTTGTGATCCCTACAAAAGCGCTGATGAAGTGGCGAGTACGGTGCATACTAATGAGTTCGCGAGGGCACGCAGCTTTTTTAAGTAATAATTGGTGACTCCGCAGCCTGAGGGTTTCCCGTAACAGTATGTGAATTTCTGCCTCGTGCGTTCCAAGTGTGATGCCACCCGTGGGAATAGGTACGTAGTATTGCGTGCACCGATGGTTGGCAACAATAGAATCCAAGACAACTTGTCTCGGTACTGGCTTCGACGCAGTAAGCGTAGCTTCGGGAGTGCCAAATTAATGGATGCTAGAGGAAATATTGTGGAACACCGTGTGTGCTTTAACCTGAGAAACCGGTTTTGATTATTGTCTAATTCTGCGCTCCAAGGCAACTGTAGCAATGAGATTGAGGTTGCAACGAGTGCTATGTGACGCCTGTCGGTGAAATTGTCGGCGCTTTTGTCAACTGATCCGGTTTTGCAGTATTTACGTGTTAGTTGCCAGTGGTTTTTCTGCGTATACGTGTTACAATGCCGATACGTTCCACTTTATAACGGTCGTCTCAGTATACACCCACGCGTCTAGAGGTATATGTCTCTTGTGGGCGCACAAACTATGCTTTGCTGATTACTGACGTTTCTGCCGGCGTGCATTGGGACGACTGCAACCAGAGGTTTGATTACCAGTGCACTGATCTGACTGGTAATCCATACTCCATGCTGTTTACCAGAGACACAGCTTATTATCTGCGTCGGTCTTCGTAGGCGCCAACAGGGTCGCCCGGGTTTCCTCGGTCGAGACTGCAAAGTTTGGTGAATTCAGGCACGGTGATCGTTACTGTGTAAGACCCTCTCGATTGTTTGATAGACTGGATCATAGAGGTCCATGTGGTCGCTTGCGATGTCCATTTGGTGAAGCCAAACGGTCAGATGAACTTTGTTGTGCAACCGGCGGTACAGACCATAATGTCAAAAGCTCTTGCTGATGCACCGATAGAAGCGTGCTGCTCCGTGTTGCTGTGTCATCCACTGTAGCACTTGCTGTTGAAAGCTTGTTGGACAACGTGCTGTGGTTTAAAACGTGCCTAGTGAAGGTACTTTTGCCTACGCTTTCCGGTGTACTGTTAGGAAACCGACTACACTGTGTAACGTCCCGAATAACGTGAGAAACCTTGGACCGCGCTTACTTCGTGTGGTGCTATGCACCCCATGGTAACGCGAGGTACTGTTGCGATTACGTTTCAACCGGGATTGCACTAAAGTTAGCGTTTAGCCGTACCTGCCGGCGGATGCTGGCAGTGGCGTGGTTGGACAGCAAACGCAGGCGAACGTTTGGTAAACAGGAGGTCCGGTCGGTGGGCTTTCAGGTGGTCAACCAGCATCCTTTTAAATAAATAAATAAATAAATAATTTATTCTCAGTTTCATAGAGACACACCAACGCAGGCATGAACCGGCCAGTGCCTTCTCTTGTGAGTTTTGTCATTGCGAAGACCATTAACTCATGCTCAGCAATGTGCGCAGCTTTAGAAATGAAGTGTACGAGCTAGGCCTGCTTGTACATGCGTCACCCAATATGCTCGCAAGCACTGAAACGTCGCTGTCTCAGAACAGCATGGCCGGTGGAGTAAATCTGTCTCGCTGTGCGTTATTTAGATGTGGTTATTTCCTGGGCCGACAAGGTGGAGACATTGCGCTTTATGTTAAATGTTATTTGGCGTTATGCGTACCTATACGCTTTAATGAGTCGACAAAACTGTCGAAGCTATGTAGGTAGTGAGTAGCATTTAAGGGGCTGGTAATTTTGTGTAGATGCACTGGAAATGCATCCAAAGTGGTGCTTGACGTTATTAGCTCCCAACCCGACAGTACGTCTCTGATAACGGGTGTTTTCTAGCTAACCGAATTTTGTTTGGCAAATCTCTCTTATAATGCCGTGTTAGATTCTTTCGATGTGGTTCTTCTTGATATTATGCCTCAAGTATCGCTGCGTCGGTTCATGGGCCTCTCTAATTACTTGGAAACCTAAGTACCGTCTATTTTGGACGTTGTATTTGTTAATCCACTAGACTGCTTGGTTAACCTCACTTACCGCTCTTGTTTAATGGCCGATAATGTTGTGCACGTTGTTGTGTGTACTGTGTTCAGATGCCACCAGGGTATCGCCGAGCAATAACCCAACAAATGGCGTGCGAACTATCAACCACTGAGTACCGTCGTGCAAGTAGGTCGACACAGTCGAATGCGTCACTAATGTCCAGGTATGGAACGATAGTAGGTCTCTGGTAATGGTGGCTGTGTTCCAAGATTTGACGGTGTTTGAATGGCTGATCCACACACCCGCGACCAGGTCGGAAGTCACCTTGTTCTTCCCGGTACTGCGATTCGCGCATGAGAAATAGTCTACGGGGTAGGATGGTTGCCAATAACTTGGACGAAACCGAAAGCTGACCAACTCCCAGTAACTTATTGGTACACAAAGTGATACTTGATTCGTCCCAGGAAAAATGCGCTTCACCCTCATGTTAGCTTTTGGAGAATAATGAGGTTAACTGGATAATGATAACTGATCCCTCATAATTGAAGAGCTCCGGAGGAAGTCTCGCTGAGCCACATCAATTCCGGTCAATGCACAGCATGCATTCATGTGGCTTTTAGACCACCTGTAGAGGCCTGCCGCCCTAAGTCATCTCTTGATAATTCCATAGCGAATCCACCAAACATTCGCCACTGTTTTTCGCCTCCATTTTACATCAAGTAAATGCCCCTTCTTACATGTGACATGTTGATCGGTTCTACACACCACCTCCGTCCATGGTTTCACTGTGCCACACCGCTTTTAGCTACCATGAGCCACGGATTAATTTGTGCCTTTCATCGGTAAGTTTACATTCTTCTTTTCCTTGGCTTCCGACACCCGGTTTACATGCTCCGCCCTAAGCATTGGCCTCGTGGGACCAAATTCCATGCATTTACCGCACCCATTGACCACGTAGTCTTATTCGCATCCGGTAAGTGAATGGCCTCCAGGGATGCAGCTTTTAGTCAGCCAGCGCAGAAGTCTCGCTCTGTTCATGCTTTCCCAGTAATACCTGGCATATACGACTTTAGAGTCTCGGATGGTTTTGTCTTTTTCACTTGGGCTAGTGCGGAGCGTCACATCAAGTGCCCCTATGCACATG